GTCGTCACAAGTTTCAGTCTCCTATGTGCGGGCTATTTGTTTATTGTTCCAGTCACGGTATTGCACCTTTCTTTTTACTATTTTTAAGTGAGCATTTACATCTTTCGCATGCCAAGATATAATGAAACGAAAGCAGTTCTGCTCTCCGATGCCGGGTCACCACACAGACAAGACCCGGACCGGGACTATACCGGCTAATCAAACTGGAATTTGTGGTAAATGGTTTAAAAAACCCGACGAGTTGAAGATTGAGACACTTATGCAACATAGGGGACTCTTTATTGAGGAAACGTTTTGCCACACATGGCTTCATCAGTCCAATACAAAACAGAAAGGTGTAAGGAGTCTGAGATAATCAGTCCGTCAGCCTGGAGTCGATGTGTTCAGTCCATCAGTCTTCTACAGGACTGATGGACTGAAAACTGGAATTGCTCTCCAATCAGACGACGTAGCCTGAAGTGTTGGCTGATGAATGTCAGCCAGTGTTGAAAATGTGGACTTGTATATTGCAGGGAGAGCATCCATATGTTGCTATTTCAGCAGAAACATCATACAAATTTGAGAAATGTTGAATATGGTTCGTCAGTTCATGTAGGACCCTCACTGGCCCTTTGTTATATATACCAGTTTCTTTGGCACGAATTATGAAAGATTTCGGTACTTGAAGTTCTTCACGACTTGGAATTTGTAATAATTATCTATCCGAGTGGATGAAGAGCTTTCAGATCAAGACAGAAATCTTTTGACTCAGTGTTGTCAGTAAATAAGTCAAATTGTTAAATAGAATCTAAATAATATATGGACAGTAATGTTGCTCCTCAGCGTATTTTTGCTTTTGCCAAAGAAATAGTTTTATGTTGTTCAGTTCGAAAAACATAACATAACTTAACGTAGCTCAACACAACCTAACTTAACGTAGCTCAACACAACCTAACTTAACGTAGCTCAACACAACCTAACTTAACGTAGCTCAACACAACTTAACTTAACGTAGCTCAACACAACCTAACTTAACGTAGCTCAACACAACCTAACTTAACGTAGCTCAACACAACCTAACTTAACGTAGTTCAACACAACCTAACTTAACGTAGCTCAACACAACCTAACTTAACGTAGCTCAACACAACCTAACTTAACGTAGCTCAACACAACCTAACTTAACGTAGCTCAACACAACCTAACTTAACGTAGCTCAACACAACCTAACTTGCTTTATTTTCACCGGAAATGGAAACTTTGTGCCCTTGTTGAATTTGTTGTGATTGGCCAGGCGCGTTGACTGACTCAGTACTAACTGTTGACTGACTTAGTACTAACCGTTGACTCAGTACTAACCGTTAACTGACTCAGTACTAACCGTTGACTGACTCAGTACTAACTGTTGACTGGCTTAGTACTAACCGTTGACTCAGTACTAACCGTTAACTGACTCAATACTAACCGTTGACTGACTTAGTACTAACCGTTGACTCAGTACTAACCGTTAACTGTCTCAATACTAACCGTTGACTGACTCAGTACTAACCGTTGACCGACTCAGTACTAACCGTTGACTGACTTAGTACTAACCGTTGACTCAGCACTAACCGTTAACTGACTCAATACTAACCGTTGACTGACTCAGTACTAACCGTTGACTGACTCAGTACTAACCGATAACTGACTCAATACTAACCGTTGACTGACTCAATAGTAACCGTTGACTGACTCAGTACTAACCGTTAACTGACTCAGTACTAACCGTTAGCTGACTCAATACTAACAGTTAAATGACTCAATACTAACCGTTGACCGACTCAGTACTAACCGTTAACTGACTCAGTACTAACCGTTAACTGACCCAATACTAACCATTAACTGACTCAATACTAAACGTTTACTGACTCAATACTAACCATCGAATGACTCATTACTAACCGTTGACTGACTCAGTACTAACCGTTAACTGACTCAGTACTAACCGTTAGCTGACTCAATACTAACATTAACTGACTCATATACTAAACCGTTTGACTGACTCATACTAACAGTTAACTGACTCAGTACTAACCGTTAACTGACTCAATACTAACAGTTAACTGACTCAATACTAACCGTTGACTGACTCAGTACTAACCGTTGACTGACTCAATACTAACCGTTGACTGACTCAGTACTAACCGTTAACTGACTCAGTACTAACCGTTAGCTGACTCAATACTAACAGTTAACTGACTCAGTACTAACCGTTGACTGACTCAGTACTAACCGTTGACTGACTCAGTACTAACCGTTGACTGACTCAGTACTAACCGTTGACTGACTCAGTACTAACCGTTGACTGACTCAGTACTAACCGTTGACTGACTCAGTACTAACCGTTGACTGACTCAGTACTAACCGTTGACTGACTTTCCAGTACTAACCGTTGACTGACTCAGTACTAACCGTTGACTGACTCATTACTAACCGTTGACTGACTCAGTACTAACCGTTGACTGACTCAGTACTAACCGTTGACTGACTCATACTAACCGTTGACTGACTCAGTACTAACCGTTGACTGACTCATTACTAACCGTTGACTGACTCAGTACTAACCGTTGACTGACTCAGTACTAACCGTTGACTGACTCATTACTAACCGTTGACTGACTCAGTACTAACCGTTGACTGACTCATTACTAACCGTTGAGTGACTCAGTACTAACTGTTGACTGACTCAGTACTAACCGTTGACTGACTCATGTACTAACCGTTGACTGACTCAGTACTAACCGTTGACTGACTCATTACTAACCGTTGACCTAGGACTACTCAGTACTAACCGTTGACTGACTCAGTACTAACCGTTGACTGACTCAGTACTAACCGTTGACTGACTCATTACTAACCGTTGACTGACTCAGTACTAACCGTTGACTGACTCATTACTAACCGTTGACTGACTCAGTACTAACCGTTGACTGACTCATGTACTAACCGTTGACTGACTCATACTAACCGTTGACTGACTCAGTACTAACCGTTGACTGACTCAGTACTAACCGTTGACTGACTCAGTACTAACCGTTGACTGACTCATTACTAACCGTTGACTGACTCAGTACTAACCGTTGACTGACTCAGTACTAACCGTTGACTGACTCATTACTAACCGTTGACTGACTCAGTACTAACCGTTGACTGACTCAGTACTAACCGTTGACTGACTCAGTACTAACCGTTGACTGACTCATTACTAACCGTTGACTGACTCAGTACTAACCGTTGACTGACTCATTACTAACCGTTGACTGACTCAGTACTAACCGTTGACTGACTCAGTACTAACCGTTGACTGACTCATTACTAACCGTTGACTGACTCAGTACTAACCGTTGACTGACTCAGTACTAACCGTTGACTGACTCAGTACTAACCGTTGACTGACTCATTACTAACCGTTGACTGACTCAATACTAACCGTTGACTGACTCAGTACTAACCGTTGACTGACTCATTACTAACCGTTGACTGACTCAGTACTAACCGTTGACTGACTCAGTACTAACCGTTGACTGACTCAGTACTAACCGTTGACTGACTCAGTACTAACCGTTGACTGACTCAGTACTAACCGTTGACTGACTCAGTACTAACCGTTGACTGACTCAGTACTAACCGTTGACTGACTCAGTACTAACCGTTGACTGACTCAGTACTAACCGTTGACTGACTCAGTACTAACCGTTGACTGACTCAGTACTATAACTTGACTGACTCAGTACTAACCGTTGACTGACTCCGTACTAACCGTTGACTGACTCAGTACTAACCGTTGACTGACTCAGTACTAACCGTTGACTGACTCAGTACTAACCGTTGACTGACTCAGTACTAACCGTTGACTGACTCAGTACTAACCGTTGACTGACTCAGTACTAACCGTTGACTGACTCAGTACTAACCGTTGACTGACTCAGTACTAACCGTTGACTGACTCAGTACTAACCGTTGACTGACTCAGTACTAACCGTTGACTGACTCAGTACTAACCGTTGACTGACTCAGTACTAACCGTTGACTGACTCAGTACTAACCGTTGACTGACTCAGTACTAACCGTTGACTGACTCAGTACTAACCGTTGACTGACTCAGTACTAACCGTTGACTCAGTACTAACCGTTGACTCAGTACTAACCGTTGACTCAGTACTAACCGTTGACTGACTCAGTACTAACCGTTGACTGACTCAGTACTAACCGTTGACTGACTCAGTACTAAACCGTTGACTGACTCAGTACTAACCGTTGACTGACTCAGTACTAACCGTTGACTGACTCAGTACTAACCGTTGACTGACTCAGTACTAACCGTTGACTGACTCAGTACTAACCGTTGACTGACTCAGTACTAACCGTTGACTGACTCAGTACTAACCGTTGACTGACTCAGTACTAACCGTTAACTGACTCAGTACTAACCGTTGACTGACTCAGTACTAACCGTTAACTGACTCAGTACTAACCGTTGACTGACTCAGTACTAACCGTTGACTGACTCTGACGCGGCAACCGAGCCATAAATGAAGGTATATTTTATGTTCATATCTCCCAAAATAATTATTTTTCGATCCACAGTACGAGTGGAAACATTGGCCATGTTTCCTTACATCTGCTGCCCCTGTTCGCCTATCAGTAAAGTAGGTACCTGTGTTTTAGGCGACTGGTGTGGGTCGCATCCTGGGAAAGAGGATTAGGGACCACAATGGAAATAAGAAACGCAGTCTGAGGATCGTGGCCTTATGGGGTTTTCCTGGGTTAATTTCCACTTCTTCTTCTTCTTCTTCTTCTTCTTCTTCTTCTTCTTCTTCTTCTTCTTTCCTCCTCCTCCTCCTCACTGCAGATCTCAACCAGCAGGTCATTCTTCGTGCGTTAAATCAGTATATCCTCCACATATACAAACAATATTCAGAATATAAAATTGTTCGTATTTTCATAACAAGTAAATTTAAGGTCGCGAATAATACTGCTGATTTATAGAGACTTATTTTATTTTATATTCTTCAAGTAACAGTTGAGACTAGCATAGCTTAATAGGTGACAGTTGGAAGCATAATGCACACATAATATAGATTAAAAAAATGAAAAGCCCGGACTTCGTTATTGAGAACAAAATTATTACTTGCTGGTTTGTTAATAAAGTTTAAAACCTATCGATTACACTAGGGTCCTTAAGGCTGTACATGTACACCACCAGTCAAGAATACTTTAACCCCTAAAATGGGACTAAAGAATACCGTGAAAATTATTGTCAGAGTTGTAATGTGTGTATATTTATGCATGCAGTATTACGTAGAATGTGTTTATTAAAGAGAAGTATATGAGCCCTTGTATTCTTGTCAGTTGTGACACATGTAAGAATGAATGTGAAAATCATTGCCTAATTAAAATTGATTGGAGGTGAAAATAGCCCCGACAAAAAAAATGACTCAGGAGTCAGAGATCAAGAGGGTGGAGCCGCCATATCAGTAGTCGATAGTAACAATATGGAATATTAAGATCGAGATTCACGTCTATTATGTAAATCAAAATTTTTAAAATAGCACAAAAATGGAGCACTGCAGCAGGCCTAATGGCCCATGCCGAATGGATCTATATCAGATCCAACCCAACAAAGTCTAGAATTAAGGAAATAAGTAACTGCCTGAAGATAAAGCAATGTAGCGAATAAATAAGGCATAATAAGTAGGAATTACGACAAGTGAAATGTTTATCTACAGAAAATAGAGGAGCATCGGTATCTCAGATCAGCCTCGAAGCAGCAAGTATGATCTTTATAATTCCCCATTATTGATTACTTACAAGATAGGCACAAGGATATATACCCCGAAAGTTGTGTGTATATCTTTCAGTCTGAGTTTAATCCCTATTTTAGGAATTAAACTTTTCTTAACTATACCCTTTGTATAGAAGATAGGTTTTAAACTCATTTAACCAATAAGATTATCAGGGTTTGATTGGACATTCGGCTGTCAGGAACAGATTCCTTTCTTGTTAAGACCCACAGATTGACAGTGCATCTGACAGTATCTAGAAGAAATAGAGCCAGTTGCCTACACATGCTGAGAAGCGTCCACGCTTCAAGGTTACCTTCACATTCGTGATCTCGTGACACTGCGAGTAAGTCAGGTAAAGTAGGTAGATTTTTAACGTTAGCTAACTTTAATTTATACTGTGAACTGTACAGTTTGGAGTGAGAGGTTAGGAAATGCAATTACCAACTAGACATGAGAAGATGGAAATTCTTGTGAAAAACCTGAATTATATCTTCCTTGAATGTACAGATGATTCGCTTCCCCTATTTTGTTTCATACAGCCCACGTAGTTACAGTGAATTAATTAGTAGTGTAGTAATTTAAAGGGAAACATTAGAATTCTGTGAATGATAAGCTTCTTTATATGTGGGAAACAAGCACTGTAAACACTAGGACACACTCGTATCACAAGAGACGAAATTTAAGATCCGTAACTGATAGAGTTTAGGTGGTTACACACACATACTTGATACTTGTAATAAACTCCTGTTAGTGATTTCACACACATACACCTATCGAATATACACATAGATACACACACACGCACACACACACACACACACACACACACACACAACACACACACACACACACACACACACACACACACACCTCATGGTGTACATAACTTTTATTTGTTCGTGTATACATACCAGAGAAACAAAATTAATAAAAGATCCAACGATCTTCTGTCGCTATTTATTTACATCAAATATGTATCATGTTACAACCTCTAAATATAAACACACTTTATGTTAATTAACTTTACTGGCGTGTAAAATGCAGCTGTATATGCACTAGTGTGCTCTTTCAAATCGACAGATATACTTTGTTAGTGTACATTTACAAGGATATGCTTTTAATGGCGAGTATATTGCAAAAGTTAACACTTCCAGTGAAAGTGTTATCCTCTGTGCAATATGTTAAAAATTTCGTAAGTTAAAAAAATATATAAATATTTACACAAAGAAAACAGATACTTATCAAGAGTAGAAAGCAATATTTAACACACAAATATATAGTATATTCATACGGAAGACTGGGATGGTTGAGCCGTGAACCTGCGGTCTTGTACTTGCTAGACACAAGCACGTATATTAATATACAAATTTGTAAGTAATCAAGCTTCATTTTCTCTGTTATTTCACTGTAGGATAATCAAGTACTGTTCAAATTCACCGTCGCGTCATCATATAAACGTGTAAACAAATATTACGAAGGAAATAATAATTGGAAGGAGCAAAATTTTTTAATGCATAAGAAGATATGACTTGTACAAATAACATCCATAGAGTTAGTGGAAAAAAAAATAGATAAATTTAGAATGCGTAATTGTTCTTAGTTGATATTGGCCTTCAGAAGTGTCCAAAACTGATAATCCAGTTGTTGGCAATCTGTCACCCTTGAGGAAGTTGAGAAATATATGGTGTTAGGTAAGTGGACGCAGATGCAAGTAATGTGAAATTTTATTATGGCAACGTTTCGCTCTCCAGGAGCTTTGTCAAGCCGTAAAATTTTGTTGGTAATTCTACCATTACTAAAAAGACTCAAATTCTACTGAAGACAGTTATACACCCAAGAAGTCCAGGTTAGACCCCCCCCCCCCCAAAAAAAAAAAAAAAATAATAAAAAATATAATATGGCAACCAGACAAATCTATGCACATTCTTCACGTCTTTAAGAATTTGTATATCACATTAATGATATAGATTCTATAAAGTTCCAGTTTTTTCTTGACCAATATCACAATGATACTGGTAAGAAAGCAAACAGTTTCACTCGGACTAGCATACCACATAAAATATTCATAAATATTTTTTTTACTTGTATTTTTGACAGGGTGATGGTTTATATTATTATTATTAAAGATTTGCGGGTATTCTCCCGGCCCGGCCTTGGCTCCCTCTTTAGGGAGTGTCTGAGACCTAAGTCTGCCATGGGAGGAGGTACAAGTACCTCCTCATCTTTGGGACCAACTGTCCCCAGGCCTAGCCACATTCCCCGCCCTCACGGGGCTCGTAGGGAGAAGCTAGGCCTCTCTGGTGTGCCATCCCCGCCCGAAGGCGGCTAATGGGAATGGCAGGCTTGTGAGCTGCAAGCTTGGGCTCGGGCACCTACCCTACCCTAGAAGGGCTGGGAATGGTGTCGATGATGGTTTATAAATATATATTGAAACTGAACATAATATCCTCTTGCTATAAAAAATAATACTCTAAATTTTTGAACAACAGCAGAGCAAGAAAGTTAATGTACTTCCAGTTTTAATGGATTATTATTATTATTATCATTATTATTATTATTTTTTTATTATTATTATTATTATTATTATTATTATTATTATTATTATTATTATTATTGTTGTTGTTGATGTACGTGAATTTTGCACATAAATTTTTTATTGAATACACTGAGTCTACGACAGAAGCTGGTCTTGACAAATTTTTTTAAGATTTAAAGAAAACGCGATATTGGAATTACATGTTGTCAGGGAAAACTGAACACTAACTCTCTCCATCAATGTTAATTCAGTTGCATGAGTTTTGTGTTCAAGTACATGCTGACTTATATGTTATTCATATCACCATTGAGAGCGTTTTTTTTTCTCTTTAAAGATAGTTTTTCTGCCATATCACTGAAATGCATACTTTACATTTTTGTACTCTGCAAGTGGTCAGACTTATTGCACAGATGAAAGCTTTGAACATTTTCCAGCCAGTAACTCGCGAATGCAGATAATTTCATCAGGTACTCAACCAGCGCATAAGCAAAGCGTTGCCTTTTAGAAATCTTAATAATACATGAGATCTCTCGGTTTAGAGATTCAAAGTCTGACAGATGTTTCAGATCTCACAGGTCCCCGAGACCTCTTAGTTTCCCAAGACCTCTTAGTTCCCCCAAGACCGCTTAGTTCCCCAAAGGCCTCTTAGTTCCCCAAAAACCTCTTAGTTTCCCAAAGACCTCTTAGTTTCCCAAGACCTCGTAGTTCCCCAAGACCTCGTAGTTCCCATGACCTCTTAGTTCCCCAAGGCCTCTTAGTTCCCCAAAGCCTCTTAGTTCCCCAAGACCTCATAGTTCCTCAAGACCTCTAGGTCCCCAAGACCTCTTAGTTTTCCAAGACTTCATAATTTCCTTAAGTTTCACAAGACTCCACGAACTAGAGCTCTTGGGCCCTGCATGATACAATTTACAATTTACCCTTCGTCGGAGATGAAGGGCTCTTAATCAAAAGAACTGGAACTATCTTCCCCTTTTCTGGATCGAATCTGATTGCCTCTCATTTCCAAGGGCACTTCATGGCCCCTACGAGGTTAGTGATCTCCCTATAAAATAAATAATATATAAAATAATCGTTACATTTAATCAATTTATATGAATAATGCATTTTGTAATGTGCGATTTTGAATCCCTGTACAAATTCCTATATAATTTTGTGTATGTGGGTATATACAGGAATGTGTATTTAGGTAATTTATGTTCGTGTGTACGGGGGATGGTGTAGGTGTATGGTGTACGCTGATGCACACACATCCCCTAAGCCACCCGTTCTTGACTCAGAGTACTGGGCAGGGGTCCCAACACCTGTCGTAGTTGCAGCTCCTGGCTCGGGGAGCTGGACACGGGTACCAACGCCTGTCGAAGCTGTCGCAGTTTGTCCTCTGTGAGAGAGAATCGAGTATTCTCTCTCCTTGCCTGCTGAACCTTCCTTGTCAGTTCAACTTCCCTCAGCCTACGCCTTGCCTCCTCATCCATCGCCAGCACGTTACCTTCAACCTGCAACGTAACCAGAAGTTTAGAATTATTTTTATTCTCTCCTGGCCTGGGATTTGATTCACGGACCTGACTGATGAGAGCCGCGACTCTCACCACTAAACTACCTTACCTGGTAAAGCAGTGGCTACTAAAGTATGTCACTTGATATACATAAACCTTGCAGAAGAGTAGGATATACTTGCAGAAAGATGAGTGGCAGACAAAAAGAAGT